TTCTTGTTTTATTGTCCAACTCTAATCAGGATTTGCCTACTGGGATGCTAGATCCTTAGTTCTTAGTAAGTTGGCACATTGTGGTACTCAATAAATGAATGAACAAATAAAAGATGAGAATATCAGCCCCTCATCTGTAGGTATCTGCTGCAGTTCCTATTCATTCATTCAGCAAACACTCGTGTGTGACAATTCTGTACCAAACTATGTGTTGGGTGGGTATGGAGATAAAAGACAGCTTTTGTCCCTGGAAAACTCATGGTCAAGTGAACTAATGATTACTTAGGGACACAAAAATTGCAGCAACATTATATAACTGGTTGCAATGGGATGAGAGATGGGAGGGGGACAAGTCAAGGAAGGCTTCCTGAAAAATATTATGTGCCCAAACCTGTGTTAGATCCTGGGGCATGACAAGAACAAGATAGATGGGTGGGTTCCTACTCTCCTGGAGCTGCATACCTTTGGGCTTCTGTAACATGAATAGGAGTTTTTCAGGAAGAGGGTGGAAAAGCATTCTACAAAGTGGTAACTGCATAAGCACAATCATAAAAACTCAGCTCAGGAGAATCCCTGTAAAACTCCGAGTTTCCCCCTCTTTGAGTGACTTTCCATTTGGGACCCCCCCCACAGTCCCCAGCGCATAAGCCTCTGTGATGCCATGCCTCCATGCTAAAAGTTGAACATCTTGCCTGGCCTGTGTTGCTCAGTGGTTAAGCATCAGCCTATGAACCAGGAGATGATGGTTCAAGTCCCTGTCCGGGCACATTTTCCAGTTGCAGGCTTGATCCCCAGTAAGGGGGCATGCAGGAGCACAAAGGTATGGAGCTCCAGGAGAGTAGGAACCCACCCATCTATCTTGTTCTTGTCATGCCCCAGGATCTAACACAGGTTTGGGCACGTATTTTTCAGGAAGCCTTCCTTGACTTGTCCCCCTCCCATCTCTCATCCCATTGCAATTATTCTCTCTCGTCATTGATGTTTCTATCTCTCCCTCTCTCTTACTCTCTGAAATCAATCAATATATATATGTATATTAAAAACTAGTAAAAAGAAAAATAATTGCTGAGCACCTTGACATGTCTTTTTTTTCTTTTCATGGCCCTAGGCTATGCCCCACAGGATTTATCTATTCAGAGTGAGTACCAGCTAAATTTCCGCATCATCAACTGGAACCTCAGCAACCCAGACCCCATGTCCTCTGAGTACACCTCCCTGCTGAGGGACATCCAGGACAAGGTGTAGTCTCTCTCACCCATCTTATATCTCCTTGCTCTGGGTACCCCTCTCATTCTTCTAACTTACATCTATCTATTAAATGATTGTTTCAGCACTTCACTTCTGATTTCTCTCAGTTTCTGGAGGCAGACCATGTCTGCCTTCCCCATTCCCAGATGAGCAAAGTGAGGCTCAGAAATGGGTGTCTGTGCTTTAAGTCACACAGTGAGTTGGGGGCAGAGCGAGGATTTGAACTCAGTTTTCCCTTGCTCCGAGGCCTGTGTTCTTTCACTGGTTCCAGTGGCTGCCTCCAGCCCCTAGGGACCTCTCTCACCCACTCTCCCTCCCCTTCATTCTAGGTCACCAAACTCTACAGAGGCAGCCAGCTAGGAGATGCATTCTACTCCTGCCTGGTTACTGACTTGAAGTAAGTTGAGGAGATTGGAAGTCTCGGCTGAGTTGGTGGCTTTTGCTCTGAGCTCCTGTGGTGGATCTTGTTCTGAAAGTCCTGACATTGTGCCCATTCTCCCCACATTCCTGTCAGCTAATCCTGCCATTCCCTATAGGTTTCCAGGGGTGGGTAAAGAACTAACCTCATGGGGCCACCAACCATCAGTATCTACCACCTTCTCCTCTTCTGGACACTTTCAACCACTATCAGCTCAATAATAAGATTTACCGTGGCCAGCCTCTCTGCTGAGCACTTTCATGCATGATAATCTCACTTAATTCTCATCACAGCCTCATGAAGTGGATACAATGATTGTCCCCATTGTTCAGATGGGAAAACTGAGGCTCAGCAAAGTAAACAGCCCAAGAACTGTCCAAGTTGGGATTGCACCCAGTCTCTGAGTGATGAGTGGAGGAACTAGGAAATCTACACAGTAGAGGAGGATCATGAGGCATATGATTTTGAATATTGAAGTTGAATATTGAATTTTGAACATTTCCTAACTTAAGTTTCTTTGTGGGGATAGTTGTAATAATACCTTCCACCACAGTGATGATAAGGGAATGTGTAAGTCACTTCTTAGGGATGCCTAGTAGATGTTCATTATTATTACTGTTATTGCTTTTATTCTCAACTCCTAAACACCTTTCATAAAGCAGGAACTCAGGGGACACTGCTGGTGTTGGATGCTGGCTGAGTCCCCATGGTCTCTGATTCTAGGCTGGGCTCCGTGACAGTCACTATCCAGGAACTGTTCTCCTCCAGTGTAGACCCCAGAATGGTGAAACAAATCTTTTTGGACAAGACCCTCAATGCTTCATCCCACTGGCTTGGTGCCACCTACCATTTGGCAGATATTCAAGTGACAGGTACAAGATGGGGAACTGGTTTCATGGCTTGTGGAGATGGGCTCTGAGGAAGGATGGGTCTTCTCAGTAGCAGTGGAACCGATGTAGGCTTGGGAGGGAAAAGTGGTACTCTTTTGGAGGTCCATGTTGATGAACCATATTCATGGCCATGGATCATCCAACATGAGGCAGAAAAAGAATATGCAGCAATTACCCTCAAAGGGATGCTTATTTTTACACAAATTTAGAAGGTCCTGAGTTGCCTTTTTAGGCCCTCTGTGAGTTATTTATTATTCATTCATTCAACTTTATTTAATGCAAGTTAATAGGTACTGATGATGCATTGTGAAAATTTCTATAAAGGGATTTCAAGAGCCTGTGGGAACCTCAAGGAGGGACACACATCCCTGTCTTAGAATGTTTTCATAAGGAAGTGATGAAGAAACTAAGATGTGATGGAGAACATGACCTAGCCTTTGGGGGACGGGGGATAAATAGTTGTGCTACATGTGTCTTTAACCTAGAAGATAGAAAGAGCATGGCATATTTGGGGACGCTATAAGAGGTATCTTGTGGCTGGTGCATGCACTTTGACCTGGGGAAGGTGACCGTTGAGGCTAAAGAGGTGGTCAGGAACTTTCTTGGGAACTGGAATGGTTTGTGGAGGAACATAAAACACTTTGAGTTCTACTTTTGAAAGCTCGTTTCCTTGGTGCTTTGTGGAGAATGGATTGAGAGAGGGAAGGAGACTGGAAGCAGCAAAAAACATTAGGAGCCTAGGCCAACAAAGGTGTGTGACAGATGCCTGCTGGGTCGGTCAGCACCTGCACTTGCCAGATACACCTCAGAGAAGCCCATTCTACTCTCCCACACATCCTCGGGAACTCTCAGATTTCTTGATGGAAAAGGGAGTTGTGCAGGTAGATAAATGAATAGATTCAAGGTGGACAGGTAGATGGAGGATCTTCTGGAGACCATCTTAAAAACCCCAGTTCAGGTCACATTACCAGCAATAAGTAGACTGGTTTAAATGACCTCTTGTTAAATCCTTCCCCACTGGCTTGGTGCCACCTACCATTTGGCAGATATTTAGTATTGAAGTTGAATATTGAATTTTGAATATTTTGAATTTTGAATATTTTGAATATTTCAACTTCAGTATTGGAATTTTATATTCTCTTTTTATTCTAGAACTGGAGGCATCAGTTCATCTGCCAACAGACAAACCAACAAGCAGTCCCAGCCCTCAGTACCTCCAGCTGAATTTCACTGTCACCAATCTACTCTATGTCCAGGACATAGGCCTACCAGGCACCACCACACACCAGCGGAACAAAAGAAGCATGGAGAATGCGGTGAGAATGCAGTTGTGTCCACTCTGTTTCCATGTAGAGACTGGCCTATAGATCTAGGTAGTCAGATGGTGACTTTCATAACAATTCATGAATACTGGTTCTTATTCCCATTTTGCAAATGAAGAAATAGACACACATGTAGCTAAGTCCTACCCTGGAACAAAGCCTTTTTTGGTACACATACCTTCACTAGTCTTTGTTGAGCCAAGAAAAAACAGATGGAAAAGTTTGCTCAGTGGCTGAACATTCTCTGAAAAAGCCTGGGGTTCTGATGAGAGAAACTTTACCCTGTCTTTCAGCTCAACCAGCTCTGCCGAAACAGCAGCATCAAGAATTATTTTTCTGACTGTGAAGTTATAGCGTTCAGGTGAGTTCCAAATCAGGGCCCAATGCCTCTGTAAACTTCTCTTTTACATAAAGGATATACGATCTTCTTTAGGTAAGAGAATCCCTATGCTATAATCTCTCAGTTCCTAGCTGTTACAGATGAGAGCCCTAGGGATATAGAACTGTTACTTTAAAAAATAGCCTCATTAGAGATGGAGGTGCCTGGTTCTGTGGTCCATGGGATATGGCTTGTAGAAAACATTTCTTTAGAAATCAGCTCCTGAATCCACAGCCCATACAAGACGGGGGCTATCATGAGATGACTTAAAATTCAGCAATCTGATCATGTTGTCCAGTAGTGTAGCCACAACCCATGTGGCAGTTAAATTGTTATACACCTACTGAAATATTGTTCATATACTATTCTGTGTGTTTATTTCTCAGACTTTTTCATATACAGTGTTACATCATCTGCAAACACAGTTCAGATCACATTTTTATATCTTCTTTTCCAATCTAGATGCCTTTCATCTCCTTTCCTTGCCTAATTTCTCTCATTAGAACCTCTACTACAATTAACATAAGAAATGAGAGAAGACATCCTTGTTTTGTCCTTGGTCTTAGAGGAAATTATTCTGTCTTTTACCACTGACTATAATATTAGCTGTAGGTTTTTTTTGGGGGGGGGTTGTTGTGTGTGTGTTTGTTGTTGTTGTTTTTGATGCTGTTTGTCACGTTGAGTAGGTTTCTTTTTAAAATCTCCAAGTTGAAGGTTTTTTTAAATCATAAAAGGCCTATTTTGTGAAATTCTTTTTGTGTGTGTGTATTAAGATAATGGGTATTTGTGCCTTATCCTATAACTATGGTGCATTTCATGAGCCAGTTCTTAATATATTAAGATAACTTTTTTCAAGCAGGGATTAGTGATTAAGATCTTTTCAAGTCTTTCCTGGGCATGCACCCAGACCTGTACTCTTGCGGCCTTCTACATCCCCTCAAATTCATTGGAGAGTTTCAAAGCCCAATGGAGACATCTCATTATTCCAATTTTTATCTTAAGTTTTTGGCTTAGCTCTTGGTTGCCTCAACTAATATTGCTCCCTCATGCAGCTACAATGCAAAAACAGTTAACACTGATTGTTTTTAGGAAGTTCCCTGGGGATAGACCTTCCTTGCTGAGGGGATATTTCCAGGGGGTGCCACACAGGTCAAATAGAAAAAACCGGGATGCATCTTTTGGGGAGCTCCAAACCCAGGATGGCTACGTGACTGCTGTTTTTCACAGTTACATGGTTCTGAGACTGATGCATTTCACAGTTCCTGAGGACATTGTGCGCGCAGAATGGGAACAGTGCAAGTTATAATGCCACAGCGCGTACTCCCTCCTAACTAAACACGCCTCAGATGGTTGCAAACCTTTGGTTCATTTCTGTACTTTTGAAAAGTTTATATTAACCATTTTTATTGTGTTCTTGTTTTTATGGGTTTTCAGAAGTCCTTACTCCCAAAATTTCACAGATGTTCTCCTTGTGGCTGTTTTGAATTAATATTACATTACATGAAAAACTCAATTCTTCACTCACACTCACCAGCCACATTTTAAGTGCTTAGCAACAACTTGTGGCTAATAATGATTATATTGGACAGTGTAGACACAAGGTTTACTTCATTGCGGAGAGTTCTCTTGGCAAGAACTAGAAAAGGAAAGCAAGACTCAGGGCAGAGTTTCAGATACCTCTGCATCCCTTTTGTGCTTCCAGGTCTGTCCCGCACAGCAACCACACTAGGGTGGACTCCCTGTGCCACTTCTTACCATTGGCACAGAAAATGGACAGAGTTGCCATTTATGAGGAATTCCTGCAGCTGACTCAGAATGGCACCCACCTTCAGAACTTTACCCTGGACAGGAACAGTGTGCTAGTGGATGGTAAGACTTCCAGGTCATTGGGGCAGGAGTGGGGGTCTAAGTGCCACACCTGTGGACTTCCCTAGGAATCTGGAGGCCTGGGGATGAGTTGGCATTGAACTTTCTGAGGCTGGCAGGAGGTAGCACAGTCCCCTGGCTTTACCCACTATTGAGGGAGAGGAAAGGATGCCCAGTGCAATATAGGAGGCCTTTGTGGTCACCTAGATAGCTCTGTGCCCTCAGGCTAGTCCTTTTCCCACTCTGGACTTCAGAGTCCTTCTCTGTCTACTGAAAGTCAATTACAGATGGTCAGTGAGGGCTGTCAGCAGAAAACTATGTGTGAACCAGCCTTGACAGGTGTGATGGGATGGACCTGTTTTCTGACCCACAGGCTGTATAAAAAGAGGCAGTGGGCCTGACTTGGCCTGCAGGCTGTATGTAGATGCCTATTACTGCCCAGATCATCACCATCCAATAGAACTTTTGCAGTGATGGAAATGTTCTCTATCTCTGCTGCCCAGCACATCAGCCACATAGAAGTTTTGAGTATGAGACGTATGGCTGACACAGATTTTTATTGTTACTGATTTTAATGTTAGGAGGTACCAGATTTTTAAATTTCATTTAATTAAAATTAATTGTAATTTAAGAAGCCCCCTTGTGGCAGCTCTGTATTGGGAAGAACTTCTTAAAAAGTTGGATAAGAAGCCCTGGCCAGCATTGCTCAGTGGTTAGTATCAGCCTGAGCGCAGAAGGGTTGCCGATTCAATTCCAATCAAGGGCATGTACCTGAGTTGCAGGTCCCATTCCCGGCCTGGTTGGGGCACATGCAGGAGGAAACCAATTGATGTCTCTCTCTCTCTCTCTCTCTCTCTCTCTCTCTCTCTCATTAATATTTTCTCTTTCTCTATTTCTCTCTCCACCTCCCTCCCTCCCTCCCTTCAACCTTCCCACCTTTTTTTCCGCTCTCTTTAAAAATAAAAATAAAAAGTTTGCTAGGGAGAAGTAGGGGACCAGAAACCCTCCTACCCTGCCTAAAGGGTACAATGTGTTCCTACCCTCATGGAGTTTATATTGTAGTAGAAAATAACAAGAATAGGTAGTTGTCAATAGTAAATTATTTGATGTAAATCAGTCCATGCTTGGGAGTGGTAACCTGAGAAGGCTTCCTGTAGAAATTATATTATAGTTGAATCCTGGGAAATAAGTATAAAACAACGTGGTAAAGAAAAAGAAGGTAAATGTGATTCTAGGCTGAGAAAAGAGATTATGATTTGTAATTTACATATTTAGAGAGATCTCATGTGCTTGCAACTGGGATGAACCATTCTCCCTTGACAATCATAAGATGGTCCAGCCTACTTTCAATATTCTGTGCCCAAAGGTAGAAATTTGATTTAATTTAATACATTATTGTAGTATGACAATGGCCTAAGGTAATGTAGGCCATTGCATCTCATTTTTTAGGGCTACAAACTGAAATGGAGTGAGACATAATGATGTCTACTTTAATATTCAGTGAAAATATAGGATGAGGCAAGAGTAGCAACTGTTAATAATTTGTGCATTGGGTGAAATACTGCTTTCATTGGGTGAACTATACCAGTACATTGCTAAAATTTGGGGAGAGATGTTTATGCTATAGTTCCATTTTTCTGTGTGTTTGAAGAGTTTTATTAAACAGAGTAAAACACTTCTCCATTTTATTCCCTTCCAGGCTATTCTCCAAGTCGACCTGAGACCCTGACTGGGAATTCTGGTAAGCCTCAAGGCAGCCCCAGGCGGGGAGGGAATGTCTTGATGCTGTGCCTCATCCCAGAGAAACCTGCACACAGGAGCTTGTATGATAACGACAGTTGGCCAACCCATGTCATGGACTGTTGAGGCACAGCGGGGAGAAAGCAAGATCCCTGGGAAATGAGAGAAGGTGGCTCAGCCCAGCACTTGTCCCCACAGATTTCCCTTTTTGGGCCATCATCCTCTTCTGCTTGGCGGGACTCTTGGTAATCACCACGTGCCTGATCTGCTGTTTCCTGGTAAGCGAGGAAATGATGCTTGTCTTCTTGCTATTGGGTTGTAAGAGTGTTTTATATACAGTCATGCATCGCATAGCAACATTTTGGTCAAGGATGGACCATATATATGATGGTGGTCCCATAACATTGTAATAGAGCTGAAAAATTCCTACCACCTAGTGACAGCATAGCCTTAATAAGGTTCTGGCAAAACACATTACTCAAGTGTTTGAGGCAAACACACCTACTGCATTTCCAATTGCATCGAAGTATAAATTGTGTATAGGCCATAATACTTGATAATAATAATAAAGGACTGTGTTACTGGCTAGGTATTTACTATACCATACTTTTTGTTATTGTTTTAGAGTGTACTTTTCTACTTATAAAAATGATGGCTGTTAAGCAGTATGCCACATTAGCCCGTACCAGTCTCATACATCTCATGTTTACTGCATCTCGTGATTGCATTATTTTTGCTTGTTCTTGATTTAACTGTGTGTTGCTTTATAAAGTAACATCCTGTACAGGCAATCCCCTAAGGGCACCTTTCTCAGGTTATACCCTTGTTGTTACATGGTGTATCACTATTTTAGAAATACTTTCCTCTGATGGACACATGTTTTGCAAATGTTTTTCTATGTGTGGTTTGCCTATTTCTTTTCTTAACAACAGTAGTTCTTTGAGAAATGTAACTGAAAGTCTTGAGTCTATCATGGTAGTAGAGTTACCACTACATGTGAGAATGGCTAAAATATTATATAGACTGGCTATAGCAAGTGTTGGTGAGTATGTGCAGCAGCTGAAACTCTCATGTAGTGCTTATAAAAAGTAGCTTAGTGCTGTTGCTTCTGTAAGTTACATACACCTACAGCTATTCCACTCCTAGCAATTTATCCAAGGGAAATAAAACATACAAAGAGACTTATACACAGATGCCCATTAGAGATCTGTATGTACTAGTCCCCAAATGGAAAACAACCAAGATGTCCACCAACAGGTGAAGGATAAACAAACTGTGACACATCCCTACAATGTGATCTTCCTCAGCAATAAAAAGGAAAGAATAATACAGGCAATGACATGGATAAATCTCAAATACTTATGCTGAGTGAAAGAAGTT